AATTAAAATATTATAAATCGAATTTGATAAATGATACGTAACAAGAAATTAAACTTGCAAAAATATGATATAACTTTAAAACAAATAGTGATCTCACATAAGTAATTTTACATTACTAGTAGTTATCTTGCTTTTTGAATATTAAAATCACAACATCCTGCAATCCATTTTCTCGTTTTATCATTTTCGCTCTTCCTCGCGCTCCACATCCTATCTCCATTTGTATCTCGTCTTCCCGTCTCGTGTATCAGAAAACTAAGGTACTTCGTAAAACACTTTTCATTGGCGGTCTTCTCTTATCTATTGCTACTGCCGTTTTTCACGAGCAGTCCTTTCGGCATCTGTCTTGCAAAGGCGAACGGAAATGCACTGCTATTTTTACGTGCTTTCTGACATCTTTCCTGATGCCTGGTTTATTTGCCCGTCACGTTGACGCGCAATTATTACAGACGCGCTACGTGATTTAATATGCGACGGTACTTCGTTGCGCTTTAGATCGACGCGATAAAATTTCCGACAATTTGTTTTTCTTCCGTCAAATGCGTATAACGCGCGGACGGACGCGATTGGCGCATCGTGCGGTATGGCAGAGCCCGATGGAAATTGCATTATTTTCGACTATTGCTCGAGGAAATATAAAACGAGCGCACGCTCAATAAAATCTATGTCGCATGTGATATTTTATAATTGTGATAGTTATAATTTATCAACACAGCCCGGTATATTAAATTTCATCTCGAGTTATTTTCAGCGCGACGTTCTCGATAGCTTTTCGCTTTGGCCAATGAATTAATTTATTCTAGCCTCTTTTAGCCTCTTTTTATTTTATTTAGAGAAAATATGCTTAATAATAAAAAACATTATAACAGTAAAAATATAAATTTTTTAAAACAATAACGCAGAACACTAGAGAAAAAAATATTCAAGCATGTTAATCTAGTTATATAACATAAAATCCATTTCAACCATTAGATTTTTGTTTAAATCTTCAATATTCTAGAAACGCTGGATAAGTAAAGGTTATTGGACTGGCAATGGCCGTTTAATGATCGAATGATTTTGTATGCCTCGCGGGACGTGATCAGAATTGACAAAGTCACTTCCACACAGACTGGCCCGCTCTGGCCATCAGCTGTGGTACCTAACAATTTTGGTAATGCAATTTGGCTCCCGAGGCACGAGAATAAATTTGATTTACATTGTGCGTAAAGCATGAGAATACGATAACACTGTACTTTCGCCGAAGTTACTGTCACGCCCGTACGTTTCATATTCACGATATCGATATTTGTACTTAGTATGCAGGAGGAACGTGCATCAGTTCGCAGTGGCAGCGGCGAAAATCCATCCGATTGATGTACAGCGCTTTCGCACGCATTCGTACGCAGGAGAAAATATTTATTGTCGTTCGCGATTTTGCACGGTCGCGTCGCGAAGTGCCGAGATACTTCACGCGGTTCATTCCGCGTTGAACTGAATATACGTACAAACATCGTGACAGCGGGAAAACGAACGCATTATCGGCATTACTACTATCAGATGTCACAAACGAGCTGTCGATACCAACGGCAATAATTGACCATTAGATCTTCTCCGTGACTTTCTCCCAAATGTCAATTTTCGAGATACAGTATAATATATTTCAGAAATCTACACTAGATTTTGTAACAGAATCTCGGCAAAACGTCTCTTACTTTTAAATAAAAAAATCTATTACCTTTGTCTAATAATTAAATATTATCTTTATTCGATAAAAAGTAACACAGAATTTTATCATATACAGCATACTCGATAGTAAATGTAATTCCATCTGACTTAAGATCAAGCAAGAAAATAATTCAAATTTTAATATAAAATTAAAATTGTTCATTTGTTTATATTTTTAAAGTATAGTTCTGCGCGATTAATATTTTATATATTAATATATTTTATTTTTAGAATTCTATTGTAAAATATATAAAAAAAACACGTCGTAGTTATTCATTGTTGCGTTGAATCGTGCTACACGTCGCGAAACGTCGCTACGAATATTTCCATAATAATATGTATACACAGATAGTGAAAACCATTTCACGCGTTGCGATGCGATGCGCCACGTCGTTGCTCCAATTCCAATCTTTCTTCGTCGACTTTGATCGTCGAATTTGATGTATTCCAGAAAGTAGTTATACTCTGCTATACATTCACAGTCCTTTCTATAGACGAAAAGTATATAAGAAGATACAAAGCTCGATCGAATTTTGGAAAACAATCCTTCACGCAATCCCACACCCTCGTCACCCACACCAAATCTTCGCGAACTGAAAATCCTGTATAACTGAAGAAATACGGAATAACTTTCGCGAAAGTTTCGCTATCCGGAGTATAGCTTGTCCTCGCAGCAAGGGATGACAATCGGGGAGACAATCACTTAGGCAATGAACAATTTGTTGCAGGGAAGGCGAGGGCGGCGGTGGCGGCGGCGGCGGCGGTGGAGGCGGCGGCGGCCGTTCTGTGACCGGCTCCGGTGGCGGTGGTGGTGGAGGCGGCGGCGGCGGTCGTCGGGCACCGAGCCTACGGCTGGTGAACGGAAGGGCGACCACGGGGGTGAGTTTGCACACCAGCAGCACCGAGTCCGTGCGCTCTCCCCATCACCAGCTCGGCCAGCAGCAGGTCGGCAACAACAACTGCCACGCCGGTAATAACCCCGCCGCGAACAATCATCCACGGCTCAACAAAGATGACAGCATCAAGATCAGCATCGAGAACACCAACACGTGCACGGACAGCCTCGTCACTGCTTTAGACGACGAGACCCTGCTCATCACAGATTTCCTGGGCGACACAGGTAAGGGCCGCTGCCACTCCATCAACCGACTCAGGAGCAACAATTTGCTCTTTAAAGGATTCTTAACAACGGTGCTTCCTGATTTTCTCTCGAGCACGCTGAGAACCCTCGAAGTAAACGCGGATTGAAATTATTATCTATATTACCATCGTATATTGTTGTTAACAATTCGTGTGCATGAAACGATTACATGATTACTCGGCAAATTAAAATATGCAGAATGCTTCTGCTGATTAAACAGTTAATTTTCATAAAATGTAAATGTACGGCGATTGTTTCGAAGTTAGATAATTGGATTAATTACAACAAATATATAAATTGTAACTTTCGTACAGCAAAATAAATTTATGAATTTTCACGAAGCAATTCATAAAATTCTAAGAAAATTTATATTTAAATACACTATGTTTTATGCAAATGTATTTTATTATTATTTGCAATGCTTTTGTATTAGTTTCGGCAAAAACACGTTGTCGTCATATCGTTGTTTATGCAAACGTCGATGTCGCGGCAAGTATTGCATTCAACTAAACTACGATTTTATTACGAGATCTAATACTTTACAGTAATCTGCGTAAAATCCAGGACATAAGCACGCCTAAGATCGTTATAAATTCCAATAGAACTTACAATTCTCACGGTAAAATCTCTACAAGGGATATAAAGAATGCGATGTAAAAGGAAAACTTTGATGAGACTCGTCGTAATAAAACGATGCAATCCTAACGACAGAAATGAGTTGTGCGATTGCGTTGCGCGCCGCGTCGCCGTTATCGTTACCGTTAATATCAAACGTACCGCTAATGTCCACGATATGTAAATCGCGGTTTACGAACAGCGGAAATGAGTAAGCGTGAAATTATGCGCCGCGTTCTCGATAATTCGCGATTGACAATATATTTATTTTTTCAACCGCTAATGGACCACCGAATCGAATCAAAATGCTCGTGAACGTCAAATTAAGTCCGCGTTTCTCGCGGACATACCCGAACGCGATTGTCACGTTGTGGCATTTGCGGTGAAATGTCATAAATCATTGATCGGATCAATGACACGCGCGTGTACACGTATGTAACAAACGTATTGTTCACAATGTGCAAATATGAGCGATGTGTGACGTGCCGGCTGACAAAATGCGTTCGACGTAACTAATGATAATGGAAAAAGCAGCGTTGCTATTTTATGGAAATAATTGAAATGTGAAATGATACTGCCATGATAGAAAGTAAAATCGAAGCGAAAATCGATAGGCAATATGTTGAACATCGCGAGGTCCCGAAGAAAAGAGAGAGAGAGAGAGAGAGAGAGAGAGAGAGAGAGAGAGAAGTAAGAGAGAGAGAGAGAGAGAGAAATTTGAATGTTATAGAATTTATTTCTTTCCAAACGCATAACAATGCAAAACACATTCGCATGAAATAATCATCATATTTAAAGTTGTGTCGGAATATTAAAATAAAAATGATTTCAAATATATTCATATTAATAAGCAATGTAGGAAATTTTTAGCAATTATTTATGCAGTTTATACAGCTTACGGGCAGAATGCAAATTCAATGAGCCCTTGACATAAAAATATAATCCATTATAAATACCTCATCTAATTTGAATGTATTGTATAATACTCGCTGCATATAAACATGACAAACCTTCCGCAGAAATTGGAAATATATATATAAATCGAATATAATAAATCTGATATTTTTAACATTTTGTGCAAAATATAGGCACTTCGTAAATCACATTTAAGTATATCCATTAAAATAATATAAATGTCAATCAGTTTATACACAGTTTTTTTGACAATAAAACATTTTCTTATACAAATAACTCTCTGTCAAGAAATAATTTATAATCTACAATATATAGCTACATATCACAGTAACACAAATTTTTTCCAGATTCAAATCTTTCCAGCACATAAAATACTTTTACTTACCGTGAAAAACGGGAATCTGAATATTACACAAAAGTTCAAAGAATAATAATTATATAATAAAAATCTCTCGTTTTTTTCTTCTCTTTCTCTAGATAATATTAAATATGTCTCTTGATATACAGAAATATGTAAATTTGTAAAACATATTTCTAATCTTTACAAAATTTTAGAAATGTGAATGTTGCGCTAATTTAAATTTTATTTTAAATCAAATTAATACGGATATCCTGAAAAATATAAAAGTTCTCAAATAACAACTACATGAAACGCTACAATACAGTTCGTTTTCCGTCTCTCTCTCTCTTCTTTTTTGTTGATTACTATTAAAAGCGACAATGCTACTTCATCCGTCCTTCTCAAATATCATGTGTTACAACGTGACGAGCGCAATAAATCGCAATATTGGATTTCTTACGCTACTGCGGTATCAGCAGAAATCATGGTAGAACGTCCAGGGATTAGCGTATACCAACGTATAAAAATAAAAAAAGAAGCGAGCATATGTACTCGTTCGTCCGGCTAAAACCGGTCAGTGGATACGCGTCTCTTCTCGCGCTTCTTCGCGTCCTTGTTCCGTTAGTTAAGCGAGTTTTGTGCGGTATCTGCCTTTCGACCGGGTCAACGCGATACTCCGTTTCATCTCGTTCTCGTCCGCGAACTTGTCGTGGCGATGCACATCGACGAGAGAGAAAGATCCGTTCTCGTGGCGCAGGAGAAGCCGCTCCTGCAGCAAGACGCGGTGCCATCGCAAAACGGTCTGAAATCAAACGATCTCGGCTCCTGGACAGGATCGTACGAGGAGTTTATTTCCACTTGGACATTACGGGACGTTCGCAAACCGCGTAAATCCGGTGAGTGTTGATAAACCGTAACGCGTTTATGCGATTGCCGATAGCCATCGATACTTATTTCGAGGAGGAAAGACAAAACGACAAGTGCTTTTATTACACTGCTTTTGCTCCCATTATTTTATACCAGACCAAGGTTTTTATTTAAAAAAATTTACTCGTGAAGATTTTCATAAAAAGATTTTAATTTTTAATAAAGATCAAGATTTTTCTAAAAACAAAAAAGTTTATTTATAATTCACAAAAAATAAAAATATAAAGAGTACACAAATAACGATGAATGATTATATAATCAATGCGATGAATTATGCAATGTTTGTAAAGATAATAAATGTGTATAACATGAATATCTACATGCAGAAATATTCTATTAATTATTAACAAATTCAATTGATATATTCATATGGAATAGATTTAAATTAACGTGTCAAATTCGAAGAATTATATATACATATTTTGTTGATGTATGCGTAAAAGTAATTCTCGAATGGTTCTTTTCAAGGAAAGCTTCTTAGTTAAAAAAAAAAAAAAAAGATGCAGACAATTATGCCGTCAAAGCAAGCGATGTGGCAAGAAAACAAAATGATATGATGCAATTTTTGAGCGGGTATATGTGTGTGTGTGTGTGTGTGTGTGTGTGTGTGTGTGTGTGTGTGTGTGTGTGTGTGTGTGTGTGTGTGTGTGTGTGTGTGTGTGTGTGTGTGTGTGTGTGTGTGTGTGTGAGTACGATACATGAGTGTTAGGCTGCCAAATCAATAAAAGATCGTCAGAATATTAACATTTCTGAAAGACCTGACTCGTCTCAATCATATAAGTTCTATAAAAGGTGAAACTTGTACAAAGCAAATTTTTTTGTGCTAGTTCACGAGCCATAAAGATATTTCGGACAACGACATCGAGTTATGACGTGTCGGCGCTATCGTGTGGCATGTGAGTTTACAAGTTCGTTTATCCTTGTGGACAGTCCGCGATTTGTGCTTCGTACGAGCGCTATCGTGCGACTCGGCTTGGGTTTATCGGACAGGCGTGAGATTTTACGGGCGCTATCGCGCGGTGATAAAAGTCGCGGAATAATGAACGATTGTCACCGGTGTTGACCTCACCCGACCGTGTGTGTTGCAGGCAACGAGATGAATTACAAGGGCAGCGGGAAGGTCCACTTCGGGGTGGACGACGTGTCCCTCTATGGGACGCCGAAGGAGGAACTGGGCCCGGGTCTCCCGGGCCAGGAGGTCAAGCAGAGCTTCCTGAAGAATCAGCTTCAGGCCCTGTTCCAGCCGACGGACAACAAGTTGGCCATGAAGCTCTTCGGCAGCAAGAAGGCGCTTATGAAGGAACGGATCAGACAAAAAGCCGCAGGTCACTGGGTCATCCATCCTTGCTCCAGTTTTCGGTATGTCCTTTGGCTATCAGCGGATTTCAATACGTTCAACAGGCCGCATCAATATTACGCGCGTTATTGCATTCGTTCCGGCTGGGAAACATGTTCCTCTAAGAAATATCAGCCTCAGACGCAGTCTCATATCTCTAAGTCTGCTCGAATAAACTCGCGCGTGACACATCGATCCCATGTTCGCCATGAGAGAATTCCACGCTTGTTTTTCACGAAACATAAAATTCGCACTTCGTTACCGGGAAGAAAAATATAAATATATAAATAACTAATATTAAAATAATAATAATAATATAACTTACTGTAATAACGTATTATCCTTTTTTTATAAAAATTTACTTTCTCCAATATTTCGTAATCGTAAAGTGTCTTTTAAACAAATTATCTACTGACTAAAAGGAAGTGGATGAGAAATTGAAAATTAGATCTCCTTATGCAACTTATATTTCGTATAAATATAAAAATTATTAGCCAATAATCGTCTTCAGCCAATCCTTTTCAAGTTAACAACAAAGCTTTTAAAAGCTTTTAAATAATCACTGTCCTTAGACAGTGTAAAGATGGACAATTTTTTGTTATTCGAATCTGAATGTATTACGTACAGGCCGGACGTAAGCGAAAGTGATAAATGACAAAAGTGGCCCGAGCGAACGAGCGTAAATCAACGAGTCGTGTCGGCTTACTCGGCAACCCGAAACTTTTCGGCTCGAGTACGATCCGATCTCGAGGAACGTAAACTAGCGCCTTTGTGCCGCAGTAAAATATCTGCCGTATCCGGATCGTTCATCGTCGAGGCTTTCGCTATTCGAGCCGCTCGAGCGGCGGCGGGCGCGTCTCCGGCAAGCAGGACAGATCTCTGGGAGATCACAAAAGGGCACGTTTGACCTACGAGGCTAACACGCGTCGTTCGCGGCTTCAATCGATCTGGGTCGCGCGGAATATTCAATAGTTCTACGGATCCAGTCATGTATATGCGCGTGTATATACAGTCGAACGGTAGTCGACTACCTCGCCTTCGGAGACGAAGTAGCGCCAGGGACTTTGCGGCCTCCGAAGAAGAAGGCCTCCTTCAGGCTTTTCGTTACCTGCCAAAATTGCCTTATCGATGACGAGAGCGACACGATCCGTCATCGATCATTGAAGTCCGGACGCGTGCTATCGATTTCTGACGGAGGATGTTGACGCATCGCCGAGCCATTTAAGGACAAATGTATCGATTAGGATGATAATAAACGTTCAAGACTGCCTGTCTGCCGGACGATAATGGATGGGCGATCTTCGATTAACGGTAATCCTAGCGGAATTAACTATTAATCAACATTAGTCAGGCAAAAAAGATTGCAAGAGCACAAAGTCTATTTCATGCTGGCGAAAGTTTATCCGAGTAACACGCGGAATACATAATAAGAAAACGACAAATATAAAGTATCGAGGTTCATTTATTCTTGACCGAATTAAAAATACTTATTACCTCGAAATGAATGGAAGATGTAATTTTCGTAATATCCAAAGATTTACGAAGAAATCTAATTTTCCGTTCAACGCTCATTATCTTCCGCGCGAAGTTTTTTTCAGTGTCGGAAAAAAAAAAATCTCTCCGTGGCGAGAAGAATTAACAGGACCGATCCGCGTGTGGCTGAAAGTGAACGAATAATGTGCCTCGTTGCGGTATCAAATGGCCGATATTAACTGTGCATAGTGCAGCGTACCATTCCATAAAGCGCGAAACACTATACTCGACAGCGACAATGACGACGGCGGCGGCGGCGGCGGCGGCGGCGGCGGCGGCGGCGTTTGTCGTTCCAATTGGTTGAAATTGCCCGGCGCTTCCGTTCGGAATCTTGGCTAATTACCAGCAATGCGGAGGACATCGGATCCTTCGCAGTCTTCTCTACGATTCCACTAAAACGAGAGACTCTCGTGGGCATTGAAATTTTAATTCGCGCCTCCGTTTCGTTAATGGCGGCGATATCTTCCACGGCGGAACGAGCGTAACCAATGGCAGTTCTTAGCGTTCCGCGACGCTGTAACGCTAATATCTAGCTGCTAAATTATACAGGCTGAGCGTCAATGGCGCTCCATTTTCCAATCGTTATCGTATCAGATCAGGTATCATATTATAAAAGTCACGTAAGCTCCTCTGCCTGACCCATATGTTTTATTTGAAAGTGGCATAGCGAAAGAAATGCGCATTAATAGATTTATTATTTGAACGCGTACAAACACCGTTGAATCTTTTCTCTTTTCGGAAGAAAGAAATGACAATTTTTTCAACACTCTAATATTTTATTATATACATAAATATATCTTTTTTTTATAAATATTAGGTGTACGAATTAATTTTTTTGCTTTTTTGATGATTACGTCGACTCAAAACTGCCAAGTTTCCACCGCAGTGGGATTCATCAGCTGCCCGGTAAATGATTTGAGATCGAAAATGATGAAGACTATTTTATCGATAATTAAAATCTTTCTTGTACTTTTATAAATAAATTTTGAACTTTACGAAAAAAGCAAGAAATCAATTTATACACCTAACATACAAATATATCTTTTTTTACGTAAATATATTAAATAAAAAATTAAATTAAATTTAAATACATTAAATAAACATAAATCGAGTACATTGAGTACTTTACTGTTACATAATATTCTTTCTCTTCCAGTTTTATTATGAAAAAAATATAAGCTTTTGAATAGTTACTGGAAAAAGGTTACTTGAAATATTTCCAAAGATTACAAAATTATGGCGTAGATACTCACTGAAATCAAAGTGGCGTCGCGGTTTTGGGAGAGCACACGCCTAAATGAATGTGCTCTTTGATCTCCAGGCCAGAATATAAATGATAGCCGAAATATCCGATAACACGTGCCACATAGTCGGCCGTAATGTCCCTCCGTCAGCAGTTCATTATCCCGAACATCACGGACATGTGCATGTCTCTATAGTAGGATATCGTGTTAATGGAGATCCATTCTGAGCAATTAACAAGGATCTATGATGCGACATCGAGTATCAATACGACGGCCGATTTTCTATACCTATCCTTCTATAACATTTAAAGACGTGACTCAAGTGAAATCTAGACAAAGGACGACTCGATCGCAAAATTTATGGAATCGTTGCGCTTCTCCTAGTCAAAGTCAAAGTTACTGAGAAGCGAACTAAGAAATAGCGAGATATAAACGAGCTGCCAAAATTCCCCGACACGTCCAAATTATTCAGACACTTTCGAAAGTATAAGTAGATAACGAGAGCCGTCCGGATGGTCTCAACTGATTTCGGCTTAAGCGAAACTTTATTGGGGGCTTAGATACTCTCCAAGATACTCGGCGGCGAATATTAAAAATATTACGGGGGGGGGGACAATACCGACAATATCATTTCCTATGTTTTAATATGCAGCCACTAAATCGCCGTCCTTCGCTTACGTACGTTTCATGAATTCGTAATTCGATACGTGGCACTCATGACGATACCAGGGTCGTAAGGATGGCGGAAATCTCGCGGAAACACCGTGCAAAATTAGATGCAAATATTATATTAAATATTATATTATATTATACACGTGGAGCCTGGAGAAAAAAAGACTTGCTAAGGATAACTAAGGGAAGACTCTCGTTCTTTCAGAGACCGCGGGAAATAAAATATGGAATTGTTTTTCCCATAAGACGTAGCGGTCCCATAAATCCGTCTCCGTCCTATGTCGGTTGGAATTGCCGTGAATACAACTCGACTCGGACGCGAGAGTACACTCTCTTTCTTCGGTACGTAGAAATACCCCTGTAAATATGAGACGTCATAAAAGCGAGCATAAACTACGCTACTTAACTCCGGGACGAGACATTAGATACGTTCCACTTTTTCCCCTCGTTTCGCGTTAAATTGTAGAAAAAGCCAGTCTCCGGTGAAAACGGCTTTCTACATGCTTGATTTACCGTTGATAATGTTAAGATATGCAAAACTTCGAGCTCTCGCGTCGAATGATTTATCCGCGCACGGCCATGGTATCGAATATTTGGATGTTCTACATTTAATATTTCCTGCTTTCGAATTCGGGAGAAAAAGTTTCTTGCTTTACGTGAAATGTGATCTTCTGGAAATTCTAGGATTCCTGTTATAATTTTCAACGCTCGTGTTGGATCTGTTTTTACTACTTTATGTACTAATAATAATATATTTCGTATATTTGTCCAACTCTAATTACATCTTCTCATTAAAAATAGTGTAAGAAGAAAATATAAAGAAAATGCACTTAGGCGACAATTACTGTAGATGTTCAAAGTTGCAGACAAATTCTCCATCTTCGGAATTTCAGAGTTAAAGAACAGAGTTGAACAAAGACGTGAAAGTATAATGAAGCTCTAAGTGTTACTTCCGTATTTCCAAGTAAAAAACGCATTTATAACAATTACAAATTCGTAAAAGAAGGATAATATTTTCGATGTCTGAATAATTAAAAATAAAGATCGTGGAAAATCGTTAATACGGCTCACGTTCGCAAGATGCTATGCATTTTGCGCGCATTGGTTTTGCTGACGTAAAAGAGTAAAAAGTATTACACGTGCCTGCAAAACCTGCAAAATGGAGTATTTAAAAAAAGAGACGATTATTCTTATCTGAACAATCATCGCGATTAAAATCAAATTTCCAAATGACGGCGTCGGCAGTGTTTTAACGAAAAAAATCATTGTGCGATATAATCTAATTATCCTAAATCCCACGTGAGTAACCACAAATTTTCGAAACCGGAGATAAGTAAGGTATAAAATATCCGTAATTAATTGAAATAAATAACATATTTATAATCCGCCGTTTACTTTACGATTTTAATCTCCTTGTAATCTCGCGCGAAAAAATCAAATAAAGTTTAAAATTTAAACGGCGGATAAAGCGGCCGCATCTACATGCGAGCCTGTATCGCGGCCAACGTATTCAAGAGGCGTATTCAAGAAGCTGTAAAATTACGTATTCGAATGAGAGTACGCGGAACTGTATC